TTTATTTATGTGGATTTCCAGTGGTGAAGTTACATGAAGAGATGAATTTGTTAGCACTTCATTTATTTTGTAATTCAAAAAGYATAGATTTATAGTTATATTACATTAAAAGGACTAAAGAGAAAAGTGCCTCTTGGTCATTGAAAAATGGATTTTGGTCAAAGAAAAGTCAGAGAATTTTCCTTTTTCAGATGAGTGGAAACCATATTTAGGAGTTGAATGTACAGTACTACTATAACCACTGCTCCCTTAATTCAACTTACATTCAAACCTGAATGAATGGAGTCTACTTTAACCATGCAAGGTCTGCATCTGTGTTTATTTATCTATTCCTTACAGACATATSGCAGACAGGAATAAACTACTGAATGAGATGGAGAGTCAAAAAGAACTGCTGTACACCTATGAACAGTCTATAAGCCACAAGGACAGCATTGTGGCCAACATGACTAGCGCCCTTCAGAGACAGGTACGATTTYATGTTTAGTAGTGTTTTTTCTTAATCGAGAAAATTAATAGGGTATTACTTTGCTTTAAGGCCCATTTAAACGGTAAAACTTTTGCCTACAACCATCACACACAACATGCTTACAACTTGATCTAGGGAGTTGTACTGTAGCGAGTTGTGGGCTTGATTTACACGACGCAATTCGTRTTGTACGTGTGATGGGAGCAGGCTGCATAAGATTGTTGTAGGCAAAAGTTTTACCATGTAAATCGGCCTTTAGAAACTTGAAATCCTATTTTTTGTTATTTTTATTTATTCTATCATTTAATAGATATTCATAATATTAATAACTTCTTTGTTATAGCGTGACAAGTTTGAACTTTTGAAAGGGTTTTCACAATGGAAAGTAAAACACAATGATGAAAACAGAGAGGTAACGTATTAAATAATTATATATTAATGAATTATTATATTATCATTAATAATTATTTTAGATATACTTAATGTCACAAAGTTCAGGTAATTGAAATTTTGAATATTACACAAATTCAGTACTAGATTTAATACATATATATTTAGTTTCATGCTCAACACGAAAGTTTGAACTATTTCCACAGCCACACACACACAMAMAAAATTSTTTTTGAACATATGATTATTCTAGTTATCACAATTATTGCATATTTAAACTTTATTATGATTTACTGTATTATTTTTGTAGATAAATGATAATAATAGTAATGGGATTAACAGTGGATTCCACAGAGTGGCTCTTCTTCCACTGGATTCCAATTGGAATTTAGAAGTTGATTTTTACGGAGGGAGGAAAGCCGGAGAATCCGAAAATCCCTTGAAACACAGGATAGAACCAACAAACAACTCTACTTACATACAACACCGAGCTCAGTGGGACTCAAACCTGGGTCGCATTGGTGAGAGGCGAGCGCTGTGGTAGTTTATGTTATGAATAGTAAAACAACTAAAGTCTGTTCAAATTTTTGTTTTTGCAGGCATTCACTGATAAACTATCCYATAAACATTACAACCACAAGCTGAAAGCAAAAGCTTGGAGTTCCTGGCGACAGTTGATTGAATCCCAGTGGAAAAATAGAGTGGAAAGAGCTTGTCAGGTACAGAATAATGTCCRATCTTCCCTTCTCAACATTCCTTTTCTTTCGTTTCATTTATTTTATTTTATTTGTTTTCTTTGCTACTTGCTTTAATATCATTTTCTTATAGCCTCTTTTCTATTTCTTCCCTTCCTTTCCCATTACCTTCCTTTCCTCCAACGTTTCTGTTTCTTCCTTCCTTCTAATTATTTTCCTAACTATACATCTTCTCATTAATAGGTAATGGGATTTCATGCTTCCCAATCAAGAAATAATTAGACTTGAAAAATTCCTCTGACTGCGAAATTGGACTCTGCCTACGGCCTCATCCAATTTTGTCAGTCCTCGGAATTTTCCTTGTCCAATTATTTCTTAATTGGACAGCATGGAGTCCTATTACCTATACTAATTCCTAATTATTTTCTTCCTTTTTTCCATTTCTTTCCCTTTCCCTTTCTTTTTCCCCACTTCTTTTTATCTTATTATCCTCAATCATGATATTTACTATTTTAGAGCAAAGCTCAAGAAGTTTGTGTGAAATTAACAGAAGATTATGAGACCAAACTTGAAAAGGTACAGTAATACATATGTTATCTCCCTTCGTAACAGTCACCTCTCAAGATTGTAAAGTGCAGACCAGATAACACTATTTGCCATTCCAAGGTGTGATGTAGTGCAGTGTGTCATGGAGTAGTTTGGTGGGGTATGGTGTGGTGTGGCGTGATGTAGTGTAGTATGACATGGTGTAGTTTGGTGGGGTATGGTGTGGTGTGGTGTGATGTAGTGCAGTGTGATGTGGTGTAGTTTTGTGGGGTATGGTGTGGTGTGGTGTGATGTAGTGCAGTGTGACGTGGTGTAGTTTGGTGGGGTGTGGTGTGTTGTGATGTAGTGCAGTGCGACGTGGTGTAGTTTGGTGGGGGTATGGTGTGGTGTGGTGTGATGTAGTGCAGTGTGACATAGTGTAGCTTGGTGGGGTATGGTGTGGTGTGGTGTGATGTGATGTAGTGTAGTATGACATAGTGTAGTTTGGTGGGGTATGGTGTGGTGAGGTGAGGTGGGATGTACTGTAGTGTAGTGTGATGTGGTGTAGCGTGGTGTGCTATGTAGTGTGGTCAGGTTGAGGAAAAAAACTGGGTTGAGTTGGCAATGCAGTGCATTGTGGGTCAGTTTTGGGGGACACATTTTCGAGATGGCTTTTCCCTCAATCTACGTAGGGATGGCTAATTGTGAGCATAAATATTCCATCAAAATCCTCAACATGAAGTATGTGGTGAATCTAGGAAAATCTGCCCTTCCCTTCTCTTCCCTTCCCTTCCTTCCCTTCCATTCCCTTTCCTTTTCTTTCCTTTTTCCTTTCCTTTACTATTGGGTCATCCCATTCTAAATTTCTTTCTTTTTTTCCTTCCTCTTCCCATCCCTTATTACGATAGAATTTTTTTGTTCAAAATCTTAGACAAATCATGAACTCGAGGAGGCAAGGCAAGAAATAGCACATCTGCATGCTGAACGTGAGGCATATGAAGAAACAATGAAGAAAGCTTTTATGAGAGGAGTGTGTGCTCTGAATCTTGAAGCAATGACAATGTTTAGAGAAGGAGAAGAGGGTGGGAGACAAGCT